AGCGCCGCGGGGGTTGGGGGGGGGACCCCCCCCCCCCCCCCTCCGACAGATGTCAGCAGCTGGAGTCCGGGAGGAAGAGGAACTCTGGACCAAAGAAAACCTCATCGTCCAATGGAAGGAGCCAAACTTCCCTCACTTCCTGCCTGTTGTCATTGAGAGGGAAGATATTGTCCCTGATAGGGGCCCGAATACCAGTAATAACCTGACAGGGGTTCTAATCCCTCCCACCCCTTCATTCAAAACTAACACGTGGAGTAGGCGTGGTCTCACACATGCTGCGTAGAAGTGGCCCCCAGAGTGGGAGTGGTCTTACACACACTGAGTAGGAGTGGCCCCCTGAGTGGGAGTGGTCTCATACACGCTGAGTAGGAGTGGGCCCCAGAGTGGGAGTGGTCTTACACACGCTGAGTAGGAGTGGCCTCACACACACAGAGTAGGCGTGGCTTCACACACACTGGGTAGGCGTGGCTTCACACACACTGAGTAGGAGTGGCCCCCTGAGTGGGAGTGGTCTCACACATGCTGAGTAGGAGTGGCCCCCTGAGTAGGTGTGGTCTCACACACACTAAGTAGGAGTGGCCCCTGAGTAGGAGTGGTCTCACACACACTGAGTAGGAGTGGCCCCTGAGTAGGAGTGGTCTCACACACACTGAGTAGGAGTGGCCCCCTGAGTAGGTGTGGTCTCACACACACTAAGTAGGAGTGGGCCCCGTGAGTAGGAGTGGCCTCACGCACGCTGAGTAGGAGTGACCTCACGCACTCGGAGTAGGAGTGGCCCCCTGAGTAGGAGTGGTCTCACACACTGAGTAGGAGTGGCCTCACGCACTCGGAGTAGGAGTGGCCCCCTGAGTAGGTGTGGTCTCACGCACTCGGAGTAGGAGTGGCCCCGAGTAGGAGTGGTCTCACACACACTGAGTAGGAGTGGCCCGCTAAGTAGGCGTGGCCTCACACACACTGAGTAGGCGTGGCCTCACACACACTAAGTAGGCGTGGCCTTACACACACTGAGTAGGCGTGACCTCACACACACTGAGTAGGCGTGGCCTCACACACACTGAGGATAAGAGTGGCCTCATATTTCTAAGTTCTCTCACATGGGTGTGGCTGTGGGAGGATCCCATGAACTGCCCCTGTTACTGGCCTAGGTGACCCCGGAGGTTCGATTATAGAACATTCGGAGTGGCGGGAATCGCCTGCTCAGCGCTCTCTATAGAGGAGCCGAATGTCTCCCCTTCTCAGGACTTTGTCTCCCCCTGCTGGGTGAATGTCACATCTACGGGGTTCACAAACTTCACCCACATCTCCAGGGGGTGAGCAGCTAGGAGAGAAGGGGGCAGGGGAGGGGGCAGGGGTACAGCCTGTACCGGGGCCCCTGAGGTCAGAGGGCCCAACCACATTTACCTCACCAGATCACCTGTGACAGTCCAGACGGTTCCATTTGAGGCGGAGTCCTGAGGATTTGGCCATCAAAGAGAATCTATGGCTTTGGTACCACAGCCGGGACCACGGGCATTGTAGGCGGGACCACGGGCATTGTAGGAGGGACCACAGGCATTGTAGGAGGGACCACAGGCATTGTAGCCCGGACCACGGGCATTGTAGGAGGGACCACAGGCATTGAAGGCCCCCCACCCCTCCTCATGAAACACCCAGAAAACTTCCCAAACAAAAAGAATAAAATGATTTCTGACCTTTTCTGATGTCCTGGGCAGAGGAAACAGGTGATTGGTCAGAGGGTGATCAGGTGATTGGTCAGAGGGTCATCAGGGGATTGGTCAGAAGGTGATTAATCAGAAGGTGATCACGGGATTGGTCAGAGGGCAATCAGGTGACTGGTCAGAGGCTCATCAGGTTATTGGTCAGAAGAACTCAGAAGGTGATTGGTCGGCGGGTGATCAGGTGTCCATGCAATCAACTATTTACTACTAAATCGACAAAAACGAAGAGTTTCAAGAAGCAGCACTCTGAGTATGAAGGCAGATCATGGCTGGGCGAAGTGGAGTTAGAATTTCTGTCACATTGTTTCTATTTGTGACTCCATTGGATTGATTTTGCCTCACTTCCTGTCTCTGTGACACCAGAAAGAAAGAGTGGTTATCACCGGGACCGGAAGGGACATCCAGCAATGGCACATTGTCATTAATCCTAATACTTCTCCAGCTGACTGAATGACAGGAACAAGGCCGCCATCACTGCTGTCATTACACAGGGGCAGCCATTGGTGCTGGGGAAGGAGTCGGCTCTCACCTCCCTCCAATAGCGGCCTACAGACTCATCACCTGATCTGTCACCTCAGGAGGAGAGCTGCCAGCCTGCCACGCCCACACAGGAAAAAAAATACCTCATAGCACCGCCCATTCCCTCTCGGCTAAAGTCCTATTGGCTCCTCTGCAGCACACTGACTTATCGCCGACGGAGCCACGACAAAATGGCGCCCGTTGGGCTCTTAGAAAATGGAGTACAAGTAACTTCCGGTTATGGCCAGGTCTCCATGGAGAGAAGGGAAGTTTTCAGTTGCTGGGGCAACCAGTCAAACAAGAGAATTCGGATCAGACTGGAACCAGGGTGACAGCTGACATGGTGAGAGGACACCGCTGTATACATTATATATACCCCTCCTGGTCCCTGTACACCCATCATCACCTGTACATGGAGAGGTGACACTGCTGTATACATTATATATACCCCTCCTGGTCCCTGTACACCCATCATCCCTCTGTACATGGAGGGAAGACACCGCTGTATACATTATATACACCTCTCCTGGTCCATGTACACCCATCATCACCTGTACATGGAGAGGGGACACCGCTGTATACATTATATATCCCCCTCCTGGTCCCTGTACTTCCATCATCCCTCTGTACATGGAGGGAAGACATCGCTGTATACATTATATACACCTCTCCTGGTCCATGTACACCCATCATCCCTCTGTACATGGAGGGAAGACATCGCTGTATACATTATATATACCCCTCCTGGTCCCTATATACCCATCATTCCCCTGTACATGAAGGGAAGACACCGCTGTATACATTATATATATACCCCTCCTGGTCCCTGTACACCCATCACCCCTCTGTACATGGAGGGAAGACATCGCTGTATACATTATATATACCCCTCCTGGTCCCTATATACCCATCATTCCCCTGTACATGAAGGGAAGACACTGCTGTATACATTATATATACCCCTCCTGGTCCCTATATACCCATCATTCCCCTGTACATGAAGGGAAGACACTGCTGTATACATTATATATACCCCTCCTGGTCCCTATATACCCATCATTCCCCTGTACATGAAGGGAAGACACTGCTGTATACATTATATATACCCCTCCTGGTCCCTATATACCCATCATTCCCCTGTACATGAAGGGAAGACACTGCTGTATACATTATATATACCCCTCCTGGTCCCTATATACCCATCATTCCCCTGTACATGAAGGGAAGACACTGCTGTATACATTATATATACCCCTCCTGGTCCCTATATACCCATCATTCCCCTGTACATGAAGGGAAGACACTGCTGTATACATTATATATACCCCTCCTGGTCCCTATATACCCATCATTCCCCTGTACATGAAGGGAAGACACTGCTGTATACATTATATATACCCCTCCTGGTCCCTATATACCCATCATTCCCCTGTACATGAAGGGAAGACACTGCTGTATACATTATATATACCCCTCCTGGTCCCTATATACCCATCATTCCCCTGTACATGAAGGGAAGACACTGCTGTATACATTATATATACCCCTCCTGGTCCCTATATACCCATCATTCCCCTGTACATGAAGGGAAGACACTGCTGTATACATTATATATACCCCTCCTGGTCCCTATATACCCATCATTCCCCTGTACATGAAGGGAAGACACTGCTGTATACATTATATATACCCCTCCTGGTCCCTATATACCCATCATTCCCCTGTACATGAAGGGAAGACACTGCTGTATACATTATATATACCCCTCCTGGTCCCTATATACCCATCATTCCCCTGTACATGAAGGGAAGACACTGCTGTATACATTATATATACCCCTCCTGGTCCCTATATACCCATCATTCCCCTGTACATGAAGGGAAGACACTGCTGTATACATTATATATACCCCTCCTGGTCCCTGTACATGGAGGGAGGACACTGCTCATATCTATCTCTCAGGAACTACAAGTCCCAGCCGTGCCCCAGTCTCTCCTACGTAGATACGCTCTCCTGGTCCATGGTGGGCGTGGCTCCGGGTATATTGGGCAGCGGGGCCCCTCTCTGTCCCCCCAGCTACTGTCATTAACCCTTATGCTGTCATTCCTCCGCAGCCTGAAAGCATCGTGGGCTCGGTCAGCTCCGGCTCCCATGGATCCCACCGATCGAAGGCCCGGAAGTACCGGACGAAGGCCGTGAGCTCCGAGATCGACGAGAGTCTGTTCGGCGCGAAGGTGAGGCGCGCGTGCGGTAGCGGGAAGTAGCCCAGCTGTCCTGTCACTTCGGCGCACGGCAGCGATCCTGTGGAAGAGTTTGGTGTCACTTGGATGTTTCTGAGATCCTGAATGACAGTGGGGTCACCCCCTGCGGGTCATGTGACTCACTCGCCTGCTCCTACGACGTCGCTCCCGGCAATGTGTCGATGCCGTAAGAGCAGCCGAGTGGTCGCTTTAGCGGTCCTGTTACTGGCAGCCGTGGGATCTTTGCAGTGACTAGTGACGGGCTCGGGCGTGTTCGCAGCTCCACGTGCCGAGCCCGCCGGGAAGCGGACAGCGCCGCAGCGCCAATCGCAGGCACTGAGACATTATCCCGGTCCGCAGCTGCAGAGATCAGGATATGTCTCAGTGCCTGTGATTGGCGCTGC